TCGATCCCGTACGACTTTTCCCTTTCACACCGTCCAGGAAGGAAAAACCAAATTCATCGTGCTAATCCTAATCGCACTATTTCATATGATGATATCCATACTGCGGAAGAATGTTGCAATAAATGCCTTAGTGAAAACGATTGTATTCAATGGGCTTATGGAACTACAGATAAACTTGGTCTTAATGCTCATACTAGTATTACTAAATCTACATGTTTAACTTACTACCAGAATCCATCTGTACCTGAAAATGCACTTGAAATTTGCAAAATACCATTAGGGTCAGACGGTGATCAAATTTATGACTGTGGTGTTATTCGTTGTCCTGGTGAAGGATGTTTTGTTTATTAAAAATGATTTTCATATTTAACTTAAAAATACTTTTTGTTAGTATTAAGTAATCTAAATTTAATTTTTCTAATTTGTTTTTTGTCGTTATTAGATTTTATTGTAACTAAAAATTGATAAATGCCATTGTCACTTCTTTCTCATTATCTAGTATATTATAATGTCAAATATCGTTTTATAGTTTATTAAACAATTTTGTAATTTTATTATATAATACGATGTAAATTTTTAGCAAAATTTACGTTAAACAAATAGATAACTAAATTTATATAAATAAAATAATCAGAATCATTTTAAACAAGGGATGGAGACTCATTAAAAATTAACACGAATGATAGAAATGATTAATTTGAATTATATTATTAAAAATATGGAATTCCATGGTTGTGCTAGTTTTTCATTTTTATTATTTTTATTCCAGTAATTCTCTCTAAATGAGAAATAAGAACTCTTTGATTTCAAATAACTCTGAATGAAGAATAAAACTCTATTCAAAATAAATGTAGAAAAATAGGAAAACTAACGCTTGTCTCCCGAAGCCTGAAATTCCTTTTAAAATTTCGAAACTCCAAAACTTAGTGTATGAAAAATTTAGACTGCTTATCAATCCAAACGCTTAGATTGGTTTTCAAAGATATATATGTATTGAAAAGCCTTTATCATTTTTTTTGGAATCTTGAGCTTCATTTAAACCAGTTGACGAATTCTTGATCATATATCTAACATTTTTAATATTAGTACGTACCTACAGTATTTTTGTGATAAGCCTATTATAAAAGTCTATATTATATCAGGAGCATTTTTTTTGTTAAGATATATTTGTTGACAAAAAAGCCTTTCCCATAAACTTTTGCACAAACTAAACACACCAAACATGCCTAACAAGTATTCAAACGAAGTTTAATAATGTTAAATGTGTCAACATTACGTAGGAACGGCGAATACCATTAAGAGTAAAATAAAATAAAATGGAATTATTATAGCCAATCAAATCTCAAATTCTTTCAAAAATTGAATTTTGATTGGTAAACAAATCATTTTAATCATGTCGTAACAAAATAAATTTTATTTGGAAAGTATTCTATATCCCTGAAAACATGTACGTATGTAATATAAAAACATTTATCCAAAATCAATAACTTAAACCGGATCTGCCGAAAAATAATTTTGCTAACTTTTTATCAGATGTCCCAGAATATATAAAACAGTGTAATATGTACAGTATATAATAATGTATATGTGTTGGGAAAATAGTAAAAGTGTCGGGAAGTAAAACTGACTTCGGATTATAGTTTTGGGGTTTCGGGTTTCGGGTTCGGTTTTTTAAAAAAACCCGAAACTAGTTTCGGATTAGAGCTTTTCGAAATAGTTTCGGGGTAGGTTTCGTTTCGAGTACCAACTCTAGTTACGGTGTCCAACATTACTTATTCAATAGCGCTTATGTTCATCCTTTTCAACTTCAATTCCATTCCAATAAAATATCCATCATCATTTGTTTCAACAGCACCTCTTAACTCGTAGAGTTTGGTCAATAAATAAATGGCGTGTTTATTCTTTTCAATTTCAATTCCATTCCAATAACTATATCCAACCTTAAATGTCCCAACAGCGTCACTCATCTCTGTATATTTGGATAAGAAATGAATGCCTTATGTTAGTCCGTTTCAACTCGATTCAATTCCAATAACAATATCCCACTATTGGTTCCAACACCGTCCCTTATCTCTTTAGATTTTGGATAATAAATGAATGCCGTGTTTATTCTTTCCCAATCCCATTCCGATAACTGTATCTAATCTGAAATGTGCTCATATTTTCAGATTTGGATAAGAAATAAATACATTATGTTTGTCCTTTTCAGCTCCAATTCCACTCCAACAACAATATCCAGCACTATATTTATTCCAACAGCATCCCTTATTTCGGTAGATTTTGGATAATAAATGAATACCCTGTGCTTAACCTAATTTCATTCCAATATCTATATCCAAAATGAATATTCCAATAGCAGGGATGGTAAATGACCTGAAATGATCCAAATAATCCAAGTGACAAATGACTAGTCATTGGCCATTTTAAAACCTAAATGACTTTAAAAGGTAATTTAACATACGTTAGTTAATATTCTAATTCCTTTTAACCAATCAGAATTTGCCGTCAAATAAAATTAAAGTTTATAAAAGGTAATCAATAATCGTAGCTATATATGTATTAAAGTTAAAATTTTACTAATTAATAATTTTGTCTCATGTGAATTTGTTCGGGATAATGTATGCAATTTATTGTCTCGAATAACTTGAGACATAAATGTTAATTGACTTAGCAAATTTTGACTTTAATACGTATATAGTGTTACGACCAAGGGAGAGTCTTATATCGATCCGGCCAATTTAGCAAAGGGTCGTAATCATTAATAAAGACAAAAACAAATATTGTATCCACACACAAAGGCACCAAAACGTGATAACTGATATTTCTTTATAGTGTCCCAGACACTGTTACCACTAATACTTTTATTTATTCTTCTATCTAGTAAGTTCCAAACTCACTATTCCTTCAACTCAAGTTACACTAC